GGAAAAGGCTCACCTGGTGTTTGGGGGACCCCTGAGAGCGGGGAAAATGCTCACCTGATGTTCAGCAGCTTCAGGGCGTTCAGCAGGACTCCCCTTTTGACATCATAATCTATTTTCTGATCCGTTCCAAAGCTCGGAGCTCGATTGATCTGGAATTTAGAGAGAAAACAATGAGTTCTGTTGTATGTTGGGAGGTCGATACATAATTCAGCCATGTTTCTCAACATTACGTAAGATTTTCAGTCATTGGTCTCAGAGCTTTACATGGTAGATGCTCCAAGACTTCTCTGCCACACCTGTTTTCTATCCCCCTGGGGCAAAGAACTGCAGCGAACCATCTACAAGCTCCAACTCCTCCATCGAAGGCCTTATTCTGCACTCTCAGCAGTCCCTGACCACGCTCCTCACCCTACCGACCCCACCATGGAGCCTTAGGAAAGTTAAGTGTAACTCATCTTGAAAGCTGGGGAGACCCACAAAAGACATATTACCAACACAATCAGTTATACATGTGTGTGTGTGTGTGCTTAGCATACATGAACCACCGGCTCCCTCCTTTCACTGCCTAAGATCTTCCTAATTAGTTCTGTTGCTTCCTAAAACATAAATTTGGTTTCTCTCTACCTGGCTCAACATTGATAACTTTCATTTCATAAAGGGTTGATTCCACCACTCAGAAAACATTCCTAACAACAGGTGCAAGCTAGGCTCAATTTTCCAACCTGAGAATGTTTTTAATGACTGGAAATTTCTTTAAATTTGCCACTGCCAGTCACTGCCTGGATTCTAAAAAGCTAGTCATGCTCTTCCTCAGGGACACCATCCACCTCATTCCACATGGTGGCGCTAGAAGGTTTTTAACACCTGAGACCCACAGCATTATCAGCAGGCAGTGAAAGGCAGAACAAGCTCTCAACACTGTACATTTAAGAATCTGAACCTGTAAAACGCTCACTGTTCATGGACAGCAGCATTGTAGGGTTTCTGATGAATGAATCTGAACTGAGTGAGGTAGAAACAGTAAAGAAAGATAAAGAATGAAGAAATGTGTTTATTGAGAGCCTTTTAGAAAAACACAGACTTCAGCTGTTCAGCCAGTTCTAACTTAGCAAGCTAGTGGCAAGATCCTATGAGCAAATGCTTTTTGCGAAGGTTAATTCACATTTCATAAAGTTCTTCCCAGAAATCCTTTTGTTTCATCCTCATGAATCATGAGCATGCGTTCACATCTCCACCCATGAGGGGTAAGTGACCAGAACTGGAGCAGGGGAAAATACAGCATCAATCAGGAAACTGCTACAGTGATCAGTGTGTTCAACCTCAAGAACAAGATTCCAGGACTTCCTAAGACAAAGAGATCCATGGTCCAGAAGCAAAGAAAACAACATGACTCAGCCAGGTCTTATTTCTAGGACCCAGGCTGGACTGAAATTCTAGCTAGCAGAAAAGATGAATTTCCTTGGATATATAACACATGCTATTATCCTGGGATGTGTGAAGACACTTCTCTTTCTATCCCTCACTCAAATTAGAAAAGTACACTTTCCTTCAAAATACATTTTGAATCATGGTCTCAGCACACATTCAGGATGCTTACAAAAACTGGAGACTATGATACAACTTCTGACTTCTAAACAACCAACCGGAGAGACAGACATCCCCCGGGAATGAAAGGCAGTGGTTGATTCCAGCTCCTGTGGCCATATGTTCCTTAAATTTTACCCCCACCCCCACCCCCCCGGAAACACACTTCAAATGTGTGCTGTCTCCCTACACATGTCTACAGACAATATGTAAGGATCCCTAAGAAAGTAGGTTCTGGGACCCCAGATCAGGGCTTCTAGGCAGAACATCTTGATGGGAGACAGCTGGACCGAGCCTCCCAGGTGCCTCCTGAGTAACACAAATATAAATGTGACTGCACAAGAACAAACATCACAAGCAAGGTCGTTTTTATATTCTTTACCTTGTTCCACATGTTAGGTGACATTTCATAATAAACTAGGGGGGACAGGAAGCAACCCCAAAGACATCAAGTTTTCAGAAATATCAGATGGTGGTAAGGGAGAATTGCTGTCCCCTGCTAAGTACTGAACCAAATGGAATGCTTAAAGACACTAGAGAAAGGGCCCAGAGGCTGCACCCACCCATGAAGTGCTGGGTGAGAAAATACATGTGTAGCCAGCCAGCACCTCGGAGGTGGCAAGCTCATACTTCTGCTCGCTCTACGCTAATGTGAAGAAGCGATATAAAATCATATTGATTCATCCCTGGAAGTATTCTAGTTCCAGAATTTTCACTTCCTTCCACCCACATACTCCATTCAGGCCACATTCCAGCCCGGGAGTTGGAAGCACCTGTGCCAAGTACACATTTGAAACAGTTTTAAACACATAAGGACTGTGATGACTTTTGAAAAACAATAACTTCTTAAAGAACACCTTACCTCCAGAAGCCATGGCTTTAGCTTTCTATCCAACAAGATGTCGAACCCCAGGACTTCAAAGCAGACACTTTGGCTTCCTGGGGACTGGCCGGGTCTGCACATTCGATATGCGTGCAGGACATGAGGTTCTGCTACAATCAGAGTCTTTACCACCAGTTCCTATTGAGATTGTGATGAAAGACACGAAAACGCCTTATTTGGATATCGTTTCAGACAGAATGGCCTGGGGAGAAGCAAGCATCCTAGGTGGACTCTCAATGCTCTTGGCCGGCCCCCGAGCTGCTCTACCCTCACTTTTTCCCCAGCTCTGTCCTTTGCCTACTCATCGATCTGGTCACACCCTCTCTGAATTTCTCTAGGAGGTGACACTTCTTCCCACCCGGGGCTCTGTGCTGTCCTATCCTCCTGGAACATCCTCCCTTTGGTTCCCAGTCACTAATACTCAGATAGGGCTTCCACAGCCATGCTTGAAAAGCAGCTACACTTGAAAATGTGTCCTATTACCTACATCATGCAACTAATTGAGGCTTTCCTCTGTCTGTTTGAACAAGACTTTTGTACTTATTTTTTTTGCAACATCCCAGTACCCATAATAATGCCCGGTGCTCAAAAATATTTGGAAACAAATAAGATTTAAAAGGAACATATGCATGAAGAGGAAAGAAAAATTCTAGGAAGGGTGAAGCATTCCCCGAACAGCATTTTGGGTCCTCCACATAGACAGATACTGAGGGACCAGAAAGAACGAGCTCATGGGTGCTGCCTTATTCATGGTGCTGGTTTGTGCTCTGCAAAGGTTTCTCTGACTAGGAAATACCTCTGGCTGTCATGGCTGGTGAGATGCCTCCCTCAATGGTTAAGAGCACTTCTTACAGAGGAACAGAGATCAGCTCCCAGCACGCACACAGCAGCTCACAACTATATAACTCCACCTCCAGGGGATGTAATGCTCTCTGCTGACCTCCACAGGGACCAGGCACATACAGTATACATATATACATTCAGGCAAAAAATTCATACACATGAAATAAAAATAAATAAATAAAATTTTCAGAACTATCAAAATTTTTCCCATGAGGAGACACACCACGGAGATCCAGCAACTTCTCTGGCTTCTGCTTACAGTGGCTTCCTAACTCTTGCTGTCGGAGAATGGGCAACACAGAAAGATGACAGAGACCCTGACTCCCTAGTCAGACTTCCCTGTTTGCACCTGGCTTTCCTGCTTCTCCTCTAGGCAGTGCGAGCATGGTACTTCAACTTGGTGTCTTGTTTTTCTGAATGTAAACAACCAAAGGCAGGGTGAGAGCCCAGACACAAATTTCAGCTCAGTGCCTTGAATAGCGAAAACCTTCACTAAGTGTTAGCTACTTAACCCCTGCTCTATTGTTGGTCTGCCATTTCTCGGGAATCAGTCTCAAGGCTCAGGTCAATTGTTCAATCCCTGGGTGGAAGCAAGATTACATGGAGAAGAAAAGGGGAGATGAGCATTCATTTTATTGTTGTCACCCAGGAACACTGATCAGTTCCGGTAACTGCATCTACACAAACAATTTAATATTTGTGAGGATGTATTTGGAACATTTAAAAAATATTCTCATTTAACTGTTTGTGATCATTATATGCATTCTGCCTAATAAAATATCCCAGTTTGTAGAGATCATGAAATGTGTCAGAGATTATGAGACTTACATTAGCATTTCTGGCTCACATCTAAAAATTATGCTTCAGGATCTAACAAAAGCTAGTTTCCATTCCCACCACTAGTCTTGCTTGAGCATTTTCTTCTAACTCAGTTTTGTGGGGAAAGTACTGTCTAAAACTTGAGTCTGAAAAGGAGATTGTGACTGTTCTCTGGCTGCTCCTTCACTCTTACATCCTTTGTACGGTGGCTCAACAGGTTATACATTTCCATGAGAACTGTCTCTAAGACTCAAACTCATATGGAAGCTAATGTATTGGTAAAGAAGAAAAAAGAATGGCAGAAGCTGTATAACACGTTTTTGTTCCCACTGAGGCATTCATCTAAGAACCTGAGGTATGAAAAAAAAAAGAAGCTGAGATATGGAATGAATGAATGAATGAATGAATGAATGGACGGACAGGTAGGTAGGTGGGTGGGTAGGTGGGTGAGAGGATGGATGGATGGGTGGATAGATGGATGGATAAGATGGGTAGCTGCGTAAATGGGTGGGTGGGTGAGAGGATGGATGGATGGATGGATGGATGGATGGATGGATGGATGGATGGATGG